GACATTCCTCCAAAAGGGAGCAAACATCGTCATAATTATGCAGGAGACCTCGGCAGTTCCACTGAATAAGACTCATTGTCGGTGACAAGTTTGAAACTTAGGACCTCGAGTTCGTAGCCCTAGCAGATGAGCAGCTAAAGCTCTAATGCTCCACTCACAAACTAGGGTTCTAAGGAAACATCTCAAAAAGGTGAAAGCCGTTTACAACCCCCTGTAACACCGAATTAGAGCGCAGCTGTTGAGGAGGAGGAGGGAAGGGTACTAGGGGGGGGGGGGGAAGTGACCTTGGGAGTCACGTGACGATGCCGATGACGTCATCAGTGACGTCACTGATGACGTCATCAGTGACGATGACGATGCGGACTCCGATGACGTCATCAGCGATGATGACGATGCGGATGCCGGTGACGTCATCAGTGACGTCACTGATGATGTCATCCGTGATGATGACGATGCGGATGACGTCATCAGTGATGATGACGATGACGATGTGGATGCTGGTGACATCAGTGACGATGATGTCATCGGGGAGGTCACGTGACCTCGGCGGAGGGGTCACGTGACCTCGGGGGTGTCACGTGACTTCGGGGGTGTCACGTGACTTCGGGGGGTCACGTTACCTCGGGGGGTCACGTGACTTTGGGTGTCACGTGACCTCTGGGGGTCACGTGACCTTGGGATGACTTTGGGGTGACCTTGGTTACGCCGACGCCGACGCCGCTCAAGCCGGGAACGGGCCCCTAAGAGCTGCGCTCTAAAACGAATTTAATAAAAAAACGAAAGAGGACATGAATGGGTGTGGATGTCAACAGGAGAGCAGTTCCAACCAAACCTTCGGGGAAGAACAAAGGTAGTGCCCCAGGCGAGGGAGTCGCCAATAGTCCTCTGGCTGATCCTTGTGGAGCTGCCACCCTGACCTCCAAGCGGGTTGGGCCAACGCCACTGACGAGGGAGTCGCCGTTATTTCTCTGTCTCAACTGATCTCTAAGTGTAAGTGAGGTAATGCCTGTGAGCGACAAAGAACAGTGATGCTGTGAGGTGTATGAAGTGTTAATGAACATTTTTGGGAGTTGAAACAGCATCCACGACTAAGCACTTGCTATGTGCCAGCTTCTGGACCTGTCGCTTTTGTCTTTTTTTTTGGGGGGGGGTCCTCAACTTTTGACGAGATTTTACCACCCTTCGGGATAGGTGGAGGCTCCGGCGGACCGCTGGAGACATCCATTGCCTCAAACTGGCGATCCGAGGAACATGAACGACGCCCCTCAAGGCACTGTGACTCTGCCGTCACAATTTTCTAACGAGGGCGTGCGGGCAGACGGCGCGGGGCCGTCGCCTTTGAGGATGCGGTCTGAGTTAAATCCTTTTGTTCTTGAGGGACTCCAGGCGAGATTTTGGGGGCTTGGGGTTTGCGTGGGGCAGAAAGGTCTAAAAGGCAGACCTGTGTCTCCGCGGAAGGCGTTGTGGGTACAGCCCCCTTGCTGACCGCAGCGGCGTAGGTGCCTCTCTGTAGGAATGAGAGGCGTTTTCGGGCTTCAAAGTAGGTCACATTTTCTTTGGTTTTCAGTGTTAGTATTTATTTTTCTTCTTTAAGCTTTGGGCATGAGCGGGAGTATGCAGGGTGGGCACCTGAACAGTTCACGCATTTGGAGAAATCACTTGCACAGTTGTCAGTGGGGTGATCATTCCTTGAACATTTTCCGACGTTAACCGTCCCCTGCAAGTGGCTGCCCCATGTCCGAAACGCTGGCAGCTAAAGCAACGTCCCGGATTGGGAATAAACGGTCGAACCATGCAGTTGAGATAGCCCGCCTTGAACGCCTGGGGGAGGGTCGTGGAATTAAATGTAAGCACAAGGTGCTTCGAAGGTTTCTCTTGGTCATCTCCACGAAAGGTAATACGCCTCACTGCAATCACACCCTGATTGCTGAGTCCTTCAAGGATCTCATCCTCAGTACTTTCCAACAAATCATCTTAAGAGATCACGCCCCGAATGGTGTTGAGAGATCGGTGTGGCGTTACTGTGACTTTGTGATCAGCTATACTAGTAAGTCCAAGAAGCGCTTTACTTTGTTGCTCTGTTTCAACCTCCACAAGGAGGCCTCCAGAGTGGAGCTTCTTTGCTTTGTAAGATTTTCCAACAGATGCTTTCAGGGTTTTTGCCACAAGGAACGGGGAGAGCTTTTCAAGTGGTAGTTCGTATTCGCAGTGCATTACTAGGAACTTAGGGAAGGCTTGAGTCTTATCAGTAGTCTTTAGAGGAACGATGGCTTCGGTGCGAACTCTTTTCAGAGATCCATCAGAAGAAAGTTTAGCTTTGTAGCCCATAAAAAATGGGAGATATTCGACATCTGCGGTGTGCCGCCCACCATGGAGCCCAACATGGGACAGGGTAACGGCACATAACAAAAATGGCTTTGCTGTGCACGTTACTCCAGTAGCACCAACCCAGATGTTATACTCAAGAATGGATCTAGACTAACGTCCTTCTCCATTCAAGGTTGGCCCTTGCCGCCAAGAAGGTGAAAGGGGAATGGAGAGAGAAGAGAGAGGAGAAGTATAAGTAAAGGTGGGAGTGAAAGAGGGGAGGGGATAGTAGAAGAGGAGGCGACTGACTGAATCATCCTGGACGGGCCTTACCAGGACACCCGTCTATGGGAAGCAGGGGCCAAAGTTGTGTATTGCCTAACCCGGGGGGCCCCGAAGGGTCCAAACCTACCCCAGGCTGGCTCAACCACCAGGATGCCCTTTTCCCCAGACACGGGAAAGCCACGCACAGCCAGACGTGGGCGGGCGTGCCCGGATGGCTCGGGGTCCGTGGTAACGCCACTCACCAAACACCTACTAACGCAGGTACCCCCTGCGGGGCACCCTAAACAGCGGAGCGGCGGAAACATGTAGGCACCCTAGCCCCATCGCGTTGAATGTATTTAGATCTCAGCTTGCCGGTCCGGTTTGTCCGCTTAGTGTTTAGACTTTTCATATATAGATACTTGTACAACTTTCCCTGCCCTCCATGTATCCTCAATTTCAGCTAGTCTTTGTTCAAAGTTTACTTTACTGATCGCTTCCCTACTCTCGAAAGATGCCCAACCCATATCCCCCTGTACTCTCTTATTTGGTGTATTCCCATGTGCCCCCAATGCCAACTTACCCACACACCTTTGCAGTATCTCTAAACCTGCCTGGATTTCTGACCACATACACAAGACCGCATTCCCAAACGACGGTCTTGGCACAGTGACTGCCTTCAATACAACCCTACGACTTCACATCTATTACAGTTCCAAAGTGCCCTGTGTTTCATTATAGCTGAATCTTGTTTACCCTTCTTTATTGCAATATCTTCATGTTCTTTTAGATACTGTCTTCCTTTAGATACTTTCTTCTTTTAGATACTCCAAGGTATTTGTGAATTTCTACGTGTTCTATCACTGTTTCCCGTATCTCCAGGGGTTCCCCCCTCTCGTCGTTGAAAACTAGTATGCCCGACTTGTCCCTACTGAAGTTTAACCCTAAACTGTCCCCTTTCCTGCTGCATATCCTAATCAGTTCCTGTATTGTCTCACGACTTTCTGCTACGAGTACAATGTCGTCTGCATACATTAACCCTGGCAATACTTGATTCACTTTATATCCTTCCTTTATGTAAATCAGGTCAAAACCTAGGTTGCACTGCGTTAATCTTTTTTCCATCTCATTGAGGGGGGATCGGTGGCCGAGTGGTCTAGCGCACACCAGCTCGGAGCACGTGGAGCGAAAGCTCGCGCTGCAGAACCCAGGGATCCTGGGTTCGAGCCCCACCCCTGCCCGTTTCGATCTGGATGAGCATAGATGAGTACCGGCGTGCGGTCGTGTATCACTACTGCGTGGTGCACGTTAAAGACCCCAGGCTAGCGGCTGTGCCGCACTGGCTAAATTTCTCATCTACAGCTGGGAGACTCGTCGCCCCTGTGAGGCAGACCAAGTTCTAGGCTGTATAAACACACACACAACCCAATTCCACCTCACTGAGGTATATCATAAAGAGCTCTATATGCTGGTGTTCATTGCAATTTGTTCTTTCTAAAAAAAAATCAAATCCGGAGGTGCAGAATGCATGCTGCTGAATGATCGCGAGACACAAATTATTATGATGAAAATAATCCCTGGAGAAGGGGAACAAGAGGGACAAGGGATAAACATAAATCTCCAAACACAGCTAGGTGACTGGTGAGCGACCGAAAAAATCCGCCTGGTCCGGGTATCAAACCCGGGACCTCTCCATTACAAGTGGAGCGCTCTACCAACTGAGCTAACCAGGGGTTAGACGTCAGTAGAGCAAACTAATTTTATCAGCTGCCACCAGTCTAACACCAACAAGGGTGAAGCTTGCAATTTAATGTTATAATTATAATGCAATTAAATGCAAAGGGGCAAGCGAGCTGGACAATAATGATGAAAATAATCCCTGGAGAAGGGGAACAAAGGGGACAAGGGACAAACATAAATCTCCAAACACTGCTAGGTGACTGGTGAGCGACCGAAAAAATCCGCCTGGTCCGGGTATCGAACCCGGGACCTCTCCATTACAAGTGGAGCGCTCTACCAACTGAGCTAACCAGGGGTTAGGCATCAGTAGAGCAAACTAATTTTATCAGCTGCCACCAGTCTAACACCAACAAGGGTGAAGCTTGCAATTTAATGTTATAATTATAATGCAATTAAATGCAAAGGGGCAAGCGAGCTGGACAATAATGATGAAAATAATCCCTGGAGAAGGGGAACAAAAGGGACAGGGGACAAACATAAATCTCCAAACACTCCTAGGTGACTGGTGAGCGACCGAAAAAATCCGCCTGGTCCGGGTATCGAACCCGGGACCTCTCCATTACAAGTGGAGCGCTCTACCAACTGAGCATTTAATTGCATTATAATTATAACATTAAATTGCAAGCTTCACCCTTGTTGGTGTTAGACTGGTGGCAGCTGATAAAATCCGTATGCTCTACTGACGTCTAGCCCCTGGTTAGCTCAGTTGGTAGAGCGCTCTACTTGTAATGGAGAGGTCCCGGGTTCGATACCCGGACCAGGCGGATTTTTTCGGTCGCTCACCAGTCACCTAGCTGTGTTTGGAGATCTATGTTTGTCCCTTGTCCCTCTTGTTCCCCTTCTCCAGGGATTATTGTCATCATTATTGTCCAGCTCGCTTGCCCCTTTGCATTTAATTGCATTATAATTATAACAAATTATTCTTGCTTGATGCAGCGCCGTGAGGAACAGCGCGAGCGTCTGGCACCGTGGAAACGCGCTTCCAGGCCAGAGTGTTTTCACAAACAAAGTAGTTTCCGGGACCACTCTTTCTGGTATGAGCCGAAGATGCGGAACAGAGGAACCTTTACAACATAGTATTTTTTTACGACTACCCCCCCCCCCCCCCCCCCCATCTTTTAGTTTCGATGCTCCTCTAGAGAATATTTTTAGAGCGCAGCTCTTAGGGGCCCGTTTCCGGCTTGAGCGGCGTCGCCGTCGGCGTCGCCGTCGGCGTCGGCGTAACCGCGCGGTGCATCATGGGAAATGTCCCATAATGCACCGCGCGAGCCCCCCACCGGGGTCACGTGACCTCGTGGGGGGGGCACGTGACCCCCCCAAGATCACGTGATCCCGGTGCATCATGGGAATGTCCCATAATGCACCGCGCGAGCCCCCCACCGGGGTCACGTGACCTCGTGGGGGGCACGTGACCCCCCCGAGGTCACGTGACCCCGGTGCATCATGGGAAATGTCCCATAATGCACCGCGCGAGCCCCCCCCACCGGGGTCACGTGACCTCGTGGGGGGCACGTGACCCCCCCCCCCCCGAGGTCACGTGACCCCCCGAAGTCACGTGACTCCCCTTAGGTCACGTGACCCCCGCCGATGTCGCGTGACCCCCCAATGACGTCATCGTGACTGATGACGTCACCGACATCCACATCGTCATCATCACTGATGACGTCACCGGCATCCACATCGTCATCATCACTGATGACGTCACCGGCATCCACATCGCCATCGTCATCATCACTGATGACGTCACAGGCATCCGCATCGTCATCGTCATCATCACTGATGACGTTACCGACATCCGCATCGTCATCGTCATCATCACTGATGACGTCATCAGTGGCGTCACTGATGTCGTCACCGGCATCCACATCGTCATCGTCACTGATGACGTCACCGGCATCCGCATCGTCATCGTCATCATCACTGATGACGTCACCGACATCCGCATCGTCATCGTCATCATCGCTGATGACGTTACCGACATCCGCATCGTCATCGTAATCATCACTGATGACGTCATCAGCGACGTCACTGATGACGTCACCGACATTCGCATCGTCATCGTCATCATCACTGGTGAAGTCTTCAGTGACGTCACTAATGACGTCATCGGTACCCGCATCGTCATCGTCACTGATGACGTCAGTGATGACATCATCGGCATTGGGGGTCACGTGACCCCCCCCTGGTTAGTTTAACCCCCCCCCCCCAGTGCCCTTCCCTCCTCCTCCTCAAGAGCTGCGCTCTAATTCGGCGTTACAGGGAGTTGTAAACGGCTTTCATTTTTTATCCCTAAGGGACTCGCTCCTCCGTTTGGGGGTGTTAATTCGAGAATTATATTTGTGCCATTTGTTAGAATTCTCCATTCCTTTTATTTTGCACCCGAAAACTGTAAATATTTGGCAAATTACGAAGGTGGTCAAACTTGGGGAGGAACTTGAAAACGACACTCCTGTGAGACTTAAAGGGGCCCAGCAATCATACTTAAGCGTCTACATTTTTTGCGGTTTACACGTCTCTTGGGGTTCGGGCAAGCCAAAGGGCACGGAGAGAGTAACTTAGTATCAGTACGTCATATTTTAACCGGACGACGCAAAAAACCTCCTCCACCTACGGGGGCTGCCCGCGGTGCCGAAAGCGCGCGATATGTGACGTCTTTCGTCCTGGGCTTACTACTGGTCAGAGCCGCCAAAACCTTTTTTTAGTCGAAATACAAAATATAAGCGCGCCAACCGTTTCAATTATTTATAAAAGCAGTTTTTGTTCAGTATCATAGATTAGAAAAGAAACAAGTGCAGTTTATAAAGTGCGGAAACAAGAAATGACCTGTCAAAATACCCACCACCAAGCGGTGGAAAAGGCGGCGCATACTGGAAAGGTGTAGTGGGATCAGGCACCGACGAGCGGCGAACGTTGAAAGGGCCCGGATATACACGGTGGCGCTGCGGTCTTATACAGTCTCGAGGATCCGAGCGTTCCGAAGGCCTTCGGCGAGAAGGTTTGGCTTGCGGTTTGGCCGTTTGGCGGCATGGCAGCGCGAAGTGGCTCCCGTTCTCAACTGATCTTTACCCCGTGTTTGCTGTCGTATGTGGCCAATGAAGTGTCATGCCGAATTAGAGTTTAATCGCGCAGCAAATGCAATGCGAGCCGCCCTGGCTGCCCGCTTTATACAGTCTATTTAGAACATGCTTTAGTGGCGTTCTCTCGAGCCGTCGTCACGGAGTGCGGCATACTTGAGCGCTCGCTGAGTTCACTACCCCTCCTCTGGTTCACGGCCACTCAAGCGACCATGATGTCATGAAGGAGGTTATTTTTTGCTTGTTTTTGTGATTTTAATTTGCCTATAACTTTTAAAATAAAGCGAAATTCGAGAAAAGGAAAAGTTTCATTAAATGACTACGTTCAGTGCGCTCAAGTTCGGTGCAAATTGAAAACCAGTAAAAAAGTCCTTGCAGGGCCCTTTAAAGCGGCTGCCAACGTTTGGCTGTCCCTCTGAGGCAGACTTGTGCCTATCTTAAATACTCTACACAAGATACTGTATTCCAAATACTTTTGGTAGTATTTCGATATCTTGCAAATACATTTCATCTAAAGTTTTTGCTACGCTATCTTCATTACATTTCTCACTATCTCGTACTCAGTATCTCAAACACACTTTTCGACCTTCGAAAATATTTATTGCCGAATCAATCTACGGAACTAGGGATAGTCAGGCTTTAGGGCAAAGTTAAACCGATTCCAGACTTCGAGGCAAGCGACAGAACACAGGGCCGGAAACAAGGCACGAGCAAAACGCAGTCTCGGAATGCCAACAAAAGACCAAATGGATAGCCCCAAGTACGCCTGCCTTCATATTTCCTCCTGTCCGCTTTTCTTTTTTTCTTTTTTTTTTTTTCAACTTTGAATAGCACGTTACGCTTGGAGCTAGCAAAGTGTTGATGACGTCAACGGGATTTTACACCTTTTGTCTGAGGCTAGTGTGGTTCCGTTAATTGGTACGGTCACAATGGACCATTTTCAAAAATCGCCGGTTCAGGAGATTATGGTATGAAAATGCGCGAGCATGTCTTCAAATGAGCGCGAATACACACTCGGCCAGAAAAAGCTAGATCCTGAGCCAGAGCCCCTTGTATGCTTATTGTGGCTTAAAGGGACCATGAAACGATTTTTAAAACAAATTTCATCCCTCGCAGGTCGGAAAATGTGTGAAAGGAAACCCCAAAACACAAAAATCGAGAGTAAAAAAAAAATTCTTCACTTTAGAACTTTTAAAAGAAAACCGGACTCGTTACACCTTCTTTCCCTCGAAAGCTCTCTGCCTTTTCACTGCGATGCTTCCGCGGAACCGCAGCACGTCAGCCAAATCCACGTCGCCTATTGGGTAAGAGCCTACCTCACTAGCACCGCGATCATAAACAATAAATAACCGGCGAATGTTTCGTCAAAGTTTTGTTAAATAATATTCAGATCCAAATTTCGTAGCATAATTAGGGATGTTGCGAAAATTGCCGATTTTGATAATCCCGAGAGCCAAGCGCCATCTATCGTGTGGTAAACGAAGCAAGAGAAAGACCCGACTGCGCTGGTCAACCCACGAGCGTCGCCTGCTGCACGGGTTTGCTCCTGGTCGCGCTCGCAGAGCAGACTTTCGTTTTCTGGCTGCTCGAGTAGTGTTTACATTGTTTGTGGTCGATCGTTCGGTCGCTATGCCGAAAGGCTGCAGTGTACCGAAGTGCCCGAATCACAGTTTCTGCAGTCCGGTGGTTAAAAAAAAACACTTGCAGTTTCACCGCTTGCCACTCCATGAACCACGTCGAAGCACTTGGTGCAGGCTCATCCGTTTGAGGGACGCCGCGTCTAAGGTCATTCGTGTACGCGCGGAACATTTTGACACCGAGCGTGGTTAGAGCCGCATTCACAGTGTTCTCCACGAATGCGGGCTAGTTCCAAAAGCCCCCCCCCCCCCCTCCCCGGCCTGAAACCCGATACTACACTGTACCGATACGATTCCGACCGACGCTTCGGCTACCGTCGGCCCCCGATGAGAGTCGGTGGTATCAGCGCCACCAGCGCAGTAAAACCCTACCGGCACACCGCCAACTCGCCGTTGCTAACGCTCCCATTCTCCTACTGCCAAGAGAACTTCCGGTTCCGGCGCCGGCGGACGTCACGATCGTCAAAATTACGTCGCAGCTTGTTTTGCGGTGAGTTGGAGAGGAAGAGAAAGTCAATATTTCATTAATTTTCGGTGTAGAGGTTCATAAACCGAAACAAAAACGGATGCCTGTTCGGCATTCAATGAACATTGAAGGTTTAATGTAAAAGTTATATGGGCAAAAGTAAAAAGGTCATTTCATAATCTTTTTAACTCTGGATCCCAAGCTTCTTCAAAGGCGTTTCTTTTATCTCCTTCCGAAGGCGCACATTGTTTCCTTCTCAGAATCCTCAAACCCAGTTTTCCGCCAGGTCCAGCCAGGGATTGCAAGCTTTTTCGTGGACACTCTCTTGTGTTACTTGTGTTTCTCTCTTGACCTTCCTAACATATATTAGACAAAATACTTGCTTTTGGTTGTTGATCAGCGACAGAGGCTGCTGAGCCCATGTGTTTCATGTGCGTGCACGTTTGTCATTCACTCCCGTACTCATCATCAAGCCCGGCTGCCTGATCAACTTATGCGATGCCACACTATCTGTCAAGTCCGACGAATCGCGTCAAGGCATATTACGAACTTATTACGGAATACCTCCATGAGCCGAGCCTACCGCC